AGAAATAGTTGGTGTATTTGAGGTTGTTGTATTGAAAATTTGATATCATATAAGGGCCTAGTTGCAATTGTAAAAATTTTAGTTTATTACAATTAATGTAATGGGTCATATTTGTAATTAATGGAGAATTTTAATTTGGACTGTTTTGATCGCTATATTGCAACTTATTACTGGATACGGTGCAACATGTTGTGTTATAAATTGCAACGTATTACTATATAAAGTGCAATTAATTTTGGTACGTTAGCATGTTTGTGTTTTTTTAGATAGATGATGTGATAAAGTGCGACGTATTGTTTTATAAAGTGCGACATTCCGTAATATAAAGTGCACTATCTAACTTATTCATTCCCATATAAATCTATCATTATATAAAAAGAATAACTTTTTAAAAAAGGTCAAATCCTTAGTCAAAGTCAAATAGCATTTAATTATTTCCACTAATAGCTAAAGTTATTTGTACAATATAACTGCATTAAATGGTTTATGTTTGTGTAAAATCTTTTATCTCTTTAAAATCGTTTGCAGTTTATATTTTATACCAAATATCAGTGCATTTGAAATTAATCTTTTCTACCTTTAAAATCGTTTCTAATTCCAATATATACAAAGTTTATCCATAGCATAAATGTACACGAGTTTGTCTCTCACCTGTTACAAAATCATATTAGATATGTCTCACAGATACATAATCTCATCCCTTATCTATACAGATTTAAAAAAATAAAATACGATTCATCTCAAGCGCGGATAATTCTCATCGGTTTAATTACTAATATTTTTACAAATATTATAAACTAACAATACATCCTCGATAACAAGGTAAAACGTATAATAATAATTTTGAAATTGTGTGTAATCAAATTTTATTAGATGGAGTAACGTCATAAATTCAGTATCATCTGAATGTCTTTATTAAAATCATGCTTATAATATTTCAGATACTTTATAAACAATTTGTTTAGACATTTTTTTAAACATATTCATCTATGTATACATATATATATATATATATATATATATACACATACATATACATATATGATGTTAAATTTAAATATTTGTAGACATGTTTTCTTTACAAAATAGTCTAGAAAAATCTTTTTTACACGATGTTAAACTTAAATATTTCTAGATACGTTTTTCTTCTAATCCGTGCATTTGAAATTGATCTTTTCTACCTTTAAAATCGTTTTCAATCTGAATCTATACAAAGTTTATTCATAACATAAATTTAAACGAGTTTATCTCTCATCTGTTATAAAATCTTATTACATACATCTCACATTTAAAAAACACATCCTTTATCTATACAGATTTAAAAAAATAAAATACGACCGCGCTACTAATTTTCAGTCTAATTACCAATATTTTTACAAACATTATAAACTAACAATAAATCCTCGATAACAACGTAAGAAGTATAATAATAATTTTGAAATTGTGTGTAATCAAATTTTGTTAGATGGAAGTAACGCCGTAAATTCGGTATCATCTGATTGTCTTTATTAAATTAGGCTTATAATATTTTAGATACTTTAAACAAAGTGTTTAGACATTTTTTTTTGACATATCCGTCTAGAGAAAGGATCATATGAGAATGATAGATAGTGAAAGAAAAAAAATGATTATGGATCATTTGATCAAGTATATCAAGGGACATGATGAAGTCAAAATTAAATAACAATGGTTAATTCATTTATGGTAAAATCGTAAATACATGAGTATTCATGGACAAATAAATACATCAAGGGACATTTATGTAATTCACCATACACCATAATCATTGGGACCCACACATATGTCATAAAATCAGATCTCTCTCCCCTCTCTCTACATCGATCATCATCTCTCTCTCTTTGTCTCTCCCTATCTGTATCTCTCTCTCTCTCACAGACACACCATCACAGACACACACCACCGTCGACAGTCAAACACCTGTCCGCCGGCATCTCACACCACCGCTACCAAGCCCCGTCCATCGTTACCGTCCGGCGATCTGTCAGCCCGTCCCGAACTCACGGCGACGGCAAGAGCTCCAATGTCGACGACAAAAACCACCGACCTTCAACAAACCACCGCCTCGCCTCCGCCTTCCACCACCAGTCCGTCTTTTAGCCCGAGTCGTGCGTCCACCCGAGCTCTGACTCGTCTGGTGGAGGTGAAGCTGTGGCGACCGGTAGCCAGAATTCATAGATTTGTGGCTGAGGTTAATGGAGGCAGTGTGTTTGGGTTGTTTCTTATGATTTGTGCGATTTGGGGTTGATTTGTGCGAGGACGACGGAGATGCATCGGCTGACGACGGCGGAGATACGGCGGCCGAGATGCGGTGGACCAACGGCGACTTCGGCAGTCGATGGGTTGACAGCAGCGATGTGGCTTGAAGGTTGTTATTTTGGTGATATGTTTTGTTTTGGTAAATTAGATTTGTTTGAAGGACTATTGTTTATTGTGTTTTTGTGTTTATTTTTTATGTGTTTTTGTGTGCTTTCGAGTCGATTCTAGGGTTATTTTAGTATCGGCCGGTCCATTTTGTCGTTTATCGTATGTCTTTATGTTTTTCTTTCTATTTTATATTTCGGCGTACTTTTTCGTGCTTTTAGTGTAATTTCAGGTTTATTCTGAGGATAGAGAGAGAGAGAGTCGAGCCATATTTCGAGAGGGTCGAGCCATATTCTGAGAGACGAGCATTTTCCGAAGAAGTCGAGTTTTCGAGATGTTTCGAGCCATTGCGTATGAGATATTTTCAGTTCTGAGAGCCCCGAACCACCGTGCCGCGAGCTCGCCGCCGTTTCTGCGACCTCGAGAGCTTAGTCCAACCGTCTCGCGAGCTCGCCGTGGGATTCACGACCTCGAGAGCTCCTTGCCACCATGCCACGACCTCGCCGAGAGATTCACGACGTCGAGAGTGTCTTCATCCCGCCGCCTGCCGCACGCCGCGTGCTCGCCTCCGTTTCCACGACCTCGAGAGCTATTCCGTGCTGTCACCATCACATGTCGCGAGCTCGCAACAAGCCTCGCGTGGTCGAGAGTGTCATCCATGCATCCTTCTCCTTGCGTGCTCGCGAAAGTTGTAGCGAGGTCGAGAGTGCCGTATTAAATCTGCGTTTTCTAGTGTGTGTTTTGAGTAGAGTATAAATACTTTTGAGCATTTGCATTTTGGATTATCTAGCTCATTATGAAATGTTTCTTTTTTTGGTTCTTAGCTTAAGTCTTTTATTTTCTCTCTAAAGTAAGGTGGATGCTCTTTACTTTTTCCAACGACTTTTTCCGGTGACTTTTCGTTTATGCAAAGTTCTAATATTTTTCTTCCGATTTCGATCAAGCATGCGTTAGGGATGTGAGTACATACTTTTAAGCCTTATGATCTCGATTTTCGTACTTACTTGCTATCTCGTGCATAGAAGTAATTAGAGCTTGCTCGATTATCAGATTTTTAGTAGCTATTTTAGTTGTTTTCATTCCCTTCACTTTTGTGAGCTCGTTTGTGATGCTTGGAGTTGATTGATTGATTGATTGCTATTTGAAAAATCGTGACTTTACATTTAGCTCGGTTATTTCGTAGTAGGATTTTGGATTTGGCTCTTAAGCATGCTAAATGGAGTTCGTTTCTCTTACTTTCGCTTTTGTTGCTCTTGACTTTGTTCACCGGATGAGTTGCTAGGGTTCCATAGTTCGTTTACTTGCTCGTTGCTCGTTTACTTGCTTTCACTAGTCGTAATTAGTGTTAATCAGCCTCAACCCAAATTGATCAGTATGTTTAGGACTTTATTTTCCATTTTTGTAATTTAAGCGATTGAATAGTAAGTAAAGCTCCGAATAGCCTTCCCTCGAGATCGACCCGAGTCGGGTAGCTCGGTTATCCCTTGCCCACCAAATCTCTACTAAACAAATGGCGCCGTTGCCGGGGAAGGCAAGTAGGACGCCTAATTTGCTATTTGGTTGTTCGTTTTTATTGTGTTTCTCTTGATTTTTGTGAACCTTGCTCAATTTCCGTATTTCTCTTTATTTCTCTTGATTTTTTAGGTGGTTTTTGTTTGAGTTTGTGTTTTCAATTTCGATTTTTCCCTTGCTTTCTATTGCTGCGTTCACGGGTATAGTTTGTGGTTTTGTTTATGCAAGGTAAACGAGGGCGTAAACCCCGAGAAGAGCCACCACCATTCGACCTCTTCGTTGAACTCAACATCGACGAACCACAACCCGAGCCTAAAACCGAATCGATGGCGGGACAAGGAGAGCAATTGCCACCACCACCTCCCCCGAACATGAGATATTTTGCACGGCCTATCATTGGAGACAACACTTCATGTCTCATGCTCGGGGAGGCGGCTCGAAACTTCGACCTTAAGATCATCCATCTAAACTAACTCCCGTCATTCTATGGCCTCGCCCAAGAGGATGCCCTCAATTTCATCCGAGACATCTGTGCAACCGTCAACACATTTCCTTTCCAAGGCCTAACCGAGAACCTACTTCGAATGAGATGCTTTCTCTACACGTTGAAGGATGAAGCCAAGACTTGGTTCATAACCTTGCTCCCAAATTCGCTCACAAATTGGGAAGCCGTGTATGAAAAGTTTATGGAAAAGTACTACTCACATCAAAAGACTACCGATCTCCGGACCCAAATCGCAAGCTTTAGCCAAAATGTCGAGGAGACCTTTCACGAGGCATGGGAGCGGTTCAAGGGATATCAACTTCAATGCCCCCATCATCACTTTTGCCTCGGGGTACTAAATCAATTTTTCTACGATGGTCTCCACCAAACCCTCCAATATAGGGTAGACCATGCGGCAGGAGGAGATATTGGGAGTCACACGGCCGAGGAGATCTACGAGCTTTACGAGATGTTGAGTGAGAATTCCCAACGGAAGAGCGTACGTAAGAGGACCCCGTAAATGAAGCTACACCATCAACCGGGTCTTCAAACGACGCTGTGCTTGCCAAGCTAGCCTCGTTTGAGGAGGAACTTAAACAACTACGGTTGACAGATGTGAAGTCCACTCAAGTTGTTATGGCCGAGGTGTGTGGTTGTTGCAGTGAGACGGGACATGGAGGCCATGAGTGTCCATGCTATATGGAGTCGACATATGATCCTAATCTTGAAGGAGTCCCCTACGATATCAACGCCATCCAAGGGTACGCCCTCCGGGTCCAAAATGATCCCTATTCGAACACGTACAACCCCGGGTGGCGAAATCACCCTAATTTCTCATGGCGGGACCCGAAGGCGGGGTATGCACCCCAATCGGATCCACAACAAGCCTATTCCCAACCTCGACAATATGCACCACCCAACAACCGACCACCATTTCAACCGAGGCCCGAATTCCAAGGATATCAACCGAGGCCCGAGTTTCAAGGGTACCAACAAGGGCGTAGAGGATTTGTCCCGAGACAACCAATGCCATCTCCACCAGAGCCCGAGAAAGAAGTTAAGGCACCTACCTCGGACCCTCGAATTGACAATATAAATAAGTATCTTCAAAGCCTCGCTTCAACCGTGTCCACCCTCCATGAAACGGTTAAGGGCGTACCTTCAATCCAAGCTTCTCTCAAGTGCACAAATGGGGCAACTCGGGACGTCTATTGGTAAAATTCAAAGAAACAACAAAAAGGATCGACTCCCGAGCCAACCCGAGCAAGCCCAAGCCGTGACGGTTTTACGAAATGGTAAAATGGTGGATAATCGAGTTGAGATGCCTAGTGATGTGATGGTTGAGGATGTTGATGACAAGGATGATGAGGAGGAGTTGAATGTTATGATGGATTCCGGGAAGAACAAGAAGGTGATGATCGAGGAGGAACCGAAGGAGAAATCCAAACCCGATAGCCTTGATACCTTGCACAAGTCGGCTACACCATACCGCCCACCGGTACCTTACCCGAGTAGACTCTAAGACACCAAGAGGAAACGCCAATTCAAAGATCTATTCGACATGATTTCCAAGGTAAATGTGAACCTTCCTCTACTCGATGTGATAAAGAATGTCCCGGCCTATGTTCAATTCTTTAAGGATTTAGCCTCGAAGAAAAGGAGGTTTTAGGATAATGAAAAGGTGATGATCTCCGAAGTTGCTTCCACCACGATTCCGAGGAAAGAATGTGACCCCGGGGGTTTTGTGATCAAGATAACCCTCAGAAACGGGAAAGAGACGAATGGAATGCTTGATTTGGTAGCCGGGATCAACCTTATGTCATACTCGATTTTCAAGCAATTGGAATTGGGAGATCTCAAGCCTACGAGGATGTGTTTGCAATTGGCGGATCGTACACTACGTTATCCGAAGGGTATTATTGAGGATATTTTAATCCGAGTTGGAAATTTGATTTTTCCGGCGAATTTCGTGGTACTTGATGTGGGAGAGGTCCCAAATACCGGGAATGAGCACACCATCTTGCTTGGCCGCCCGTTTATGGCCACTACCAATACTCTCATCAATGTCAAAGACGGGCGAGTCACCTTATCGGCTCTCGGTGAAACTGTCACTTTTACAATGAGCGAGGTAAAGACCACATCGTCGTTCACCGAGAGTTGCTCTTATGTTGATGTGATCGAGGCGGGGGTCCACAACCTTTTCCATGCCGATGTCTCTTGTGAGTGTGGAGTTCCCGATGAAGATGAGTCAAAGAAACTTGATTTCGAAGAAGAAGGTGTGGTGGATCTTATTGATATATCCAAAGAACCCGAACCTCGGGAAATTTTGACCGAGCTTAAACCGTTACCACTACACCTCAAGTATGTCTTTCTCAAAGAAAATTAGAAGAAGCCCGCCATCATATACTCGGGACTCTCAAATGAGGAAGAGAAATTACTTGTGGATGTCCTCATGGCGAATAAGGATGCTCTCGGGTGGAGTTTGAGTGATATCAAGGGGATAAGCCCGGCAACATGTATGCATCGAATTATTCTTGAGGATGAATCAAAGCCTATCCGGGAGGGTCAAAGGCGGTTGAATCCTACGTTGATAGAGGTGGTAAAAGGGGAGATTCTTAAGTTGCTACAAGTGGGGATTATTTATGCCGTGGCAGTTAGTGAATGGGTGAGCCCCGTACACGTGGTCCCGAAGAAGAGTGGAATCACGGTTGTGAGAACAATAAGGGAGAGCTTGTACCGACAAGAGCCACGACGGGGTGGAGCATGTGTATCGATTTCCAAAAGCTTAATGCCGCCACAAGGAAGGACCACTTCCCCTTGCCGTTTATTGATCAACTTCTCGACAAGCTAGCCGGCAACCCTTACTATTGTTTCCTTGGTGGATTATCGGGGTACTACCAAATCCCGATTGCCCCAGAGGATCAACCGAAGACCACCTTCACATGACCTTTTGGCACTTTTGCCTTCCGGAGGATGCCCTCTGGGCTTTGAAATGCTCCCGCCACTTTTCAAAGGTGCATGTTTTCTATCTTTTCGGATATGATTTGTGAATTTATTGCGATATTTATGGATGATTTTTTTGTGTTTGGTGATTCATTTCTTGATTGTCTTGATAAATTGGGCAAAGTGTTGAGTCGATGCAATGAAAATAATTTGACACTTAGTTGGGAAAAATCGCATTTCATGGTGCCTAGTGGTAATGTGCTTGGTCACGTCATTTCATCTAAGGGTATTGAGGTAGATAAAGCTAAAGTTGATGTGATTGAGCAACTTCCACCCCCTTTGAATGTTAAAGGTGTTCGTAGTTTACTTGGGCATGCCGGCTTTTACCGGAGGTTTATCAAAGATTTTTCGAAAATAGCCTGACCATTGTGTGCCTTGCTTGCTCTTGACGTGCCTTTTGATTTTAATGATGAGTGCTTACATGCATTTAATGAATTGAAACAAAAGTTGGTCACAACATCAATTGTGATGCCCCCGAATTGGTCCCTACCTTTGGAAATTATGTGTGACGCTTCAAACTATGTGGTAGGGGCCGTTTTGGGGCAAAAGGTCGATAAACGACATCATGTGATCGCATATGCTAGAATGACCCTAAACGATGCTCAAATCAATTACACCACCACCGAGAAAGAGTTTCTAGCCATTGTCTTTGCATTAGAAAAGTTTCGAGCATATGTGGTTGGGTATAAAATCGTCGTGTATAGTGATCATGCGACATTGAGACATTTGTTAGCTAAAGCTCAATCTAAGCCTAGGTTGATTCGTTGGGTGTTACTATTGCAAGAATTTGATGTGGATCTTAGATAGAAAAGGGTGTGAGAACGTTATTGCCGATCATTTATCTCGCCTTACATTGCTTTCGAGTTCTTGTGATTTGCCCAATCTTGATGATTCATTTCCTTACGAGCATGCTTTTCTTGTTGGTCGTGTGCCTTGGTATGCTGATATTGCTAATTACTTGGCTAGTGGTATTTTGAATGATGACTTATCCTTCCAAGAAAGGAAGAGATTTATTTTAAAGTGTAGGTACTTTCTTTGGGAGGATTCGTACCTTTTCCATCTCGGGAAGGACGAGGTCATTAGGCGGTGTGTACCCGAGAAAGAACAACACGATATCTTGACCGCTTGCCACTCGTCTAATTGTGGTGGCCATTTCGGTGGTCGGAAAACGACATTCAAGGTGCTTCAAAGTGGATTCTATTGCCTACGATCTTCAAGGATGCCCACGCCTTCTCGACTTCATGCGATCGATGTCAACGCTCGGGGAATATCAGGAGGAGGAATGAGATGCCCCTTAACACGTTCCTTCCGGTTGAAATATTTGACATTTGGGGGATAGACTTCATGGGACCCTTCCCGAGTTCCCATGGGTTTGAGTATATTTTGGTTGGTGTGGAGTATGTCTCGAAGTGGGTAGAAGCCATCCAGGCTAGGACTTGTGACGCTAAGGTCATGGTGAAATTCGTGCAAGACCACATCATCAACCGTTTCGATTTTCCTCGACTATCATTAGTGATGGAGGTTCTCATTTTTGCAACCGAATATTCAAGAAGCTTATGGAGAAAAATGGGATCGTCCACAAGGTTGCTACACCTTATCATCCTCAAACCTCTGGGCAAGTCGAAACGAGTAACAAGCAAATCAAAGCCATCCTTGAGCGAACCGTGAATGCCTCTCGACGTGATTGGTCTCAAAAACTCGGAGATGCATTGTAGGCACATCGCACGGTGTACAAGGGTGTACTAGGTATGAGTCCCTTTCGTTTGGTATATGGAAAAGCTTGCCACTTGCAGGTGGAAGTCGAGCACAAAGCCTATTGGGCTATCTGGACCATTAATTTCGAGCTCGGCTTAGCCGGGAAGGAGCGACACTTGCAAATCGATGAGTTGGACGAGCTACAAAATGAGTCGTATGAGAATGCCCGAATTTATAAAGACAAAGTCAAGAGGTGGCATGATTCAAAAATCCTAAGGAAGGAGCTCAAGACTGGATGAAGGTACTTCTTTTTAACTCCAGACTTCGTTTATTTCCCGGTAAATAAAATTCAAGATGGAGTGGTCCGTTCAAAATTGAGGAGGTATTTCCCTCGGGGGTCGTTAAACTCTTTAATCCGACCGACAAAACATCTTTCCAAGTGAACGGCCACCGTGTGAAACCGTATCTCGAGGGAGAGGTTAAGGATGTTCAAGTTCTTTATTCCCGGTTCGAGGAGCCAAATTACTAGTGAGTTGACGGGAAAGTCGAGCTCGCGACTTTAAAATGAGCGCTTCGTGGGAGGCAACCCACGCATTTTTTCTTTTCTTTCTTTGTTTTCTTTCCCTTTGATTTTTCTTCTTTTTATTTCTTTTCTTTTATTATAATAAAAAAAATTTTGGAGAGCTCGGCCGACCCGCTCGGCAGTACTGACTTGTTAGAGCCGGGCCAACAAAATTTGAGTGAAATCGAGAGCTATTTGAGCGTGAGAGATATACCGAACATTTGGAGCGAAAAATGGAAAAATATGCCTAAGTATGGGAGGGACTAGGCTGCTGTGGTTCGCGTGCTCGCATCTCGAACCGCACCTTCGCGATCGACACTCGCGAGCTAGCCGCGATGCCCGCGAGCTTGCCGTCTCTTTAACTCTCCGTTTTCAGCTCCCTGTTTTCTGCGCCGCGAACAGCGCCGCGAGCGCACGAACGAGATTCGCGATCACGTCCTGTTTTCCGCGGGCTCGCGGCGTTCCAACTCCCAATTTTGTGCTCCAGTTCAGACCTCCACCTTTCGCGTGGCGTAAAACGCTGCGAACGCGCCACCAATGCTCTCGACCGTGCCGCGTAATCCGCGACCTCGCGGAGCCAAGTCTTCCCAGAACTTCAGCCTCTTTAATTCCGCCCGACGGAATTCGCCGCTACCTCGCGCTCCATACTCGCGACCGCGCCTGATTTTCCGCGAGTCCGCTGCACCTGACGACCACCAGTTTCAGCCGATGTTTGTTCTCTTAGCGGATATCATAGCGAGCTCGCGGCTTGGCTCATCGGCCCAAGGCCCGACTCTGTCTGGCCCAACCTGCTTCAACCAGCCCGTTACCTAGCTCGGCCATGACCTAGCCCGGTCTGGGCCCGATTTGACCACCATTTATTTTATTTTTTTTTTTTTAAAAATATCAAAAATCCTAAAATCTAAACTCCAAATCCCTCAGCTCGATTTTGATTCACAATGATTGGTCGAAAAAAGTGTGTATATTATATATTTATTAGCGTATTTTTA